CTTCTCGTGATGTGGATCATTAAATTCTGGGCGACTGTTTTTTTCTTGTTATGTGGATTATCAAAATTTTAGGTGTAATATTTCACAAATTCCTTAAAATTAGAAAGCGCACGATTCTATTAGTCAGAAAAGCTGCTAACAGGGTGTTCCTCTTTCCTAGTATGCAGAAAATCTCGTTGATCTCAATTTCCCGGCTGAATGTATATAACAATAGTTTTAGAAGGTCTGAATATACTGTCCTTCTGAAGGAAAAATGGTTTCCATCTCTTAGAAAATTACTAGGAATATTCCACGTAACAGGTAATCTGTGCGTCCCAGTTTTAACTGTTTCCTATTGAGTGGAGATCTTGTGGTAAATCTTGCTGCATATAAATATTACTGGACCCTATACTAGAGTCTAAATCAGGTCTTTGGGTTTTAAACTTCTTTTCATATAAAAGTGGTTCCTACTCCCACTTTATATTGTTGATGCCATTATAAAAAATATTTAATGGTGTGAGGAGACAGTGTAATAGGAACATGGATTTGTATGGTTAATTTAAAGTATGTCCACTTTTTATCAGTGTGTAGAGGCTGTGTAGAAACAATTATTATGGGATCAACACTCTAAAACAAACAATTTTCCTTTTTTTTTGTGTGTGGAAAAGCTGCTGTTTTCTTTTCGGGGAAACAATGTTTTTCTCCATATAAAGTTTTTCCAACACAAAAACGAAATACTAGATGTATACAAACATTGTTTTTCAAAAAAAAAAAAGAACCTAATGAAAATTAACCGTTTTCTAATCCAAGCGGTACTTAGTGGTAGGTGTCTGGGGTTGTTGAGCCTACTACATAGTGGGTAGATATATTCTCTTGGTAAGTGGGATTAATAATGGGTTTGGCCTTAATATCCTTCTCTTCTTAACGTTGAGTAGCTCAGTATTAAGTAATTGAAAGAATATCTCAATGCTTAACTTTACAACTGTGTACCTGGTGTAACTTTATTCCCTATCTCACGCCTTTCGGCATAACTTAACTTTACCTTTGATCTAACTTAGTTTCTTTAGTTCATGCCTTTCAGTTTTCGTATATAATATACGTTTGTTGAGATTATAGCAGTGGACGTTTATCTGGTATAATTGTTAAATACAGGCTTGCACATTTTGGCTTAGAAATTAAGTACATGATTCCACATGAATTTTGAGATGCAATATTGTAAAAATATGGATAACAATCTTTGAGCATAGTGTGCAATTTAATTGATTAAGTGGTTATGCAAACATAGATGCACCTATGAAGAATTGCACCTTATATATTTAAGACAGCTGACATCTTTTAAATTTCCTTTTGGTTATAAGCTTGTGTAATAATGGCTTAAATATTATGGAACCTATTTTGTTCTATTAAGGACACTGAAATCTAGAAACAGGTGATATTTCCTCAGCATGACTAGTATCTCATCTGTTAGCTATCCCAGCAGATCATGCAACATAATCTGCTGACTGAGACATGTGTCTTTGCTGAACTCTCATCTCCGTGATAATTCCTCGTTAATTTTTGAAATTCCTTATACAAAGAAAAAATTAAAAAGAAAGGAAGAACGCCATGTATTCATTGATTCGATCATTTAACATTCTGCCATTAATGGTAGTTTGCTCATATCGCAACATAATCTGCTGATTGAGGCATGTGTCTTTGCTGAACTCTCATCTCCGTGATAATTCCTCGTTAATTTTTGAAATTCCTTATACAAAGAAAAATTTAAAAAGAATGGAAGAATGCCCTGTATTCATTAATTCGATCATTTAACATTCTGCCATTTAATGGTAGTTTGCTCATATCGCTTTACCAGATCTCTTAGAATGACATACTGGTATGTTGTCATGCAAGTCTCAGATTTCAGTTGTTGATGATAGAGCACCTGATAAAACATTTGCACTTCTTAAACCAAGCCTTTTGCTAATGGCAGGTCGAGACTTGCAGCTGCTAGTGTTTCATTGCCTGTATCAGAAGGTTTGTTTGAGGGGGAGAGCCAGACAGATGTTATCCCTCTGCTATGTGCAATCTTTCTGGCAAATCAAGGGGCTGGAGAGGCTGCTGAGGAAGGAAAAAGTTTGCAATGGGTAGGGAGATTGCTTTATCCAAATTTATTCTTTTCTGGCAATACCTGGAGTGCTTGTTACTGAGAAAGGAGTATTGCATAGCTATTTTTTATGTTGTTTGGTTCTGATTCTGGAATTATGGGGTTATTTCATTTTGTGCAGTTGTTTATTCTCCATGTGATTCACAGAGAAGTCAGTCGCCTAGCAGTGAAACTAGAGTGCAGACTCAAAAGATGATTCCATGAGCATGCTTTTATCAAATTCTAACCAATCACGCCTGTTTGCTGAAACATAACTTTTTGTTTATCCTTTAAAAGTACGGATAGAGTATTACATGTGCACATGTTATCATGGGAAAAAAATAATGGAGAGCTTGGTCTCCGAGTTGCTCTAGTGTGCTTAAGCTTTGCACATATTTCCATTTCGATAATGAAATAGGATGTTTACAATGTATTCTTTCTAATTTTAAGAACTCATTTTCTCTCTTACTAAGTAGCTCAACTACTCCTTTATAATTCAAGCTAGGTATAATTTGGTCAACACAAATGAAATCATTATTATTTTTGCATTGTTATTTCAAGGTCTAAAATGCGCATCTGACCTGGCGGTAAATAAATAGGATGCTGTTAAAAAGTTTAGTTCTATGTCTGGAGTGTTAAGTTACTTATCCACACTATATATTCTTTCTAAAAACCTACCCTTCAGGTTGTATGTATGTTCTAATTCTATATTCTGCGAATTGAATAAGGATACTGAATGTTCATTAATTTTGCGTTTTCCAACTTATCACAAAAATAATTTCTCCATTTTCTAAATCTGCTTAGTGATGCCAGCTTTGATTGTCAAATTCAACTTGCTGATCATATTGCAAGATTTTTGGCTTCGTGAGCTCTAATGGGACTAAGAGTTTGGCTACTTGTGGGGATATGAAATCCACTTGGGGTGGGGTAGGGGCAAGAGAGAACTAAAAGATTGGGGAGGGGGGGCGAGAGAAAGGTACTAAAAGATAGTGGAGGTTATTGAGTCTTTCAGTTGATTGAGCATGAAAGCAAGGTTAAACTAGCCTTATCATATACTAACCAGTGCTAGATTTTTTTTTGCTCGACTATGTTGCTACGAAATTGAATGCGGTTGTCTTGTACAGGATGATGAAGATGCTGTATTACAGGGAGAGAAAGAAGCTGAAAAAATGATTATAGAAGCTTATTCAGCTCTCCTTCTTGCCTTTCTTTCAACTGACAGGTTAGTTAAGTCTTTTGGAATTAGTTTTTAATCTGTTATCTCTTATTTAAATGCTCTCTTATGTTTAAATATCTTTATTTGGATCAGCAAGAGCATACGACAGGCAATTGCTGGTTATTTACCAGATCATAATTTGTCCATTCTTGTGCCTGTGCTGGAGAGATTTGTGGTATGTGATCTTGTCCAGTTCTTTGAGTTGATAAAGAATGGTAGTAAAAATTGTAAAATTCTTCCCAACTTTTAAACAGGGATACTCAATTTCAAATAACTAACCACTTCTAACATAGTTATCTAACTTATTGCCACAAGAAAGTGGAACATTGTTTCCTACCGATTTTGTATGTATGTGTTAATAGAGTTCTTATCTTAGTTGTATTGTTTATCCAGGAATTTCACATGACGCTGAACATGATTTCACCGGAGACTCACTCAACAGTGCTTGAAGTTATAGAATCTTGTAGGGTTCGGTGAGAGCAAAGGAACTTCGTTTTCTTTTCCTTCTGCACATTGTCCTCAATATGAGAAAGAAGATGGTACCAATGAGACTTTGTACATCCTACCTACCCTTCTCTGCAGCATTCATTATTACATGACGGGCATCTGTTGGTGCATTGCAAATCCTATCTTTGGTTTTGTGAGTCATGGGGGCTTTTGTTTGACTATGATTTTTCTAAAGTTTAGGGGACATTTTTTTTTTCTATTTTCCAGCCGATTGTCACCACTTGTGAGGGCTGAGATGCTTGTACATGAAGAACAATTATGAATGTGAAACACAGAATGTAATTTGTAGTAATTTTCTAGTGATGGTTTCTCTATCTGGTGATTTGTTATTTCACTGTATCTTTTCCTGTTGTATTAGTTAAGTGTGGAGACTTCCATATATTTCTTGATGAGAATCGTTATTACGGGTAAGCTTATAGTAAGCAGCATTTCACAAAAAATCATCTCGAAGTTGTAATTTTATCTTGTAAAATATGATTCTTCTGATAAAAATTTGGCTTGTGGTTTGTCTATTTGAACGTTGTGTGTTTGGCACTGTTAAAAAGTTTTCAATGAAAACACGTTTTTTTTGGTTGGTTGTCTAGGAAGCTTTTTCTTCAATTTTTTTTTAAAGGGTTCTCTAAAAAGTTGTTGAGATGGGTTATTAGTACCGCACTGTTTCTTCTTCTCTCCTTTTATTTTGTTATTTTTTCTTGATTGATTGGACTGCGTGCTAATTTACGAGGACTCGGTTATAACATGAACTACTAAGAAATCTTAACGAGTATAATTTGCGGCAGGGTAACAGTCATTTGATTAATATGAATTTGGCACAAGCCTCTGGAGAAAAGGAAAAAAAACAGTAATAATTTCTTAATTTTGCTGCTTTATCATGTTGGTTTCACAGTGAAATGAAATTCCTTTAATGTTGTAATCTTTCCACATGACAATTTATATTGGCACTTCTCTTACAAAATAATAGCGGCGGGCACTCAACTTTCGTGATATAACAGAACACGAAAAAGATGGAATATGGATTACATAACATGGTACTTTCCTCTTTCATATTCCAATTCTATACCAAATTATCGCTGACGTGCACGAAGCACCAGTCTTAATATAAAAAACCATCTGATTTTTTTCTTTGAATACAAGAAAACAACACACAACTCTCATGTGCGTTGGTGGAACAACCAATCCAGGTTATACATTATTCATTCATTTTGAGCTTCACCAGGAGAGTATACTGGACATACTTATATATTGCGACAATTTAACAAGTTACTTACACTAGATACTGTTTCGTATTCAAGATGCTTAATAGAAATTGCAGCAAATATTATATGTAGATCACAACTAGGACTTGATTAACACTTTTAAGTAAAGGGAACAACAACAACGCCTCAATCCCAAGCAAGTTGGGGTCGGCTATATGAGATAGAACAACCAAAGTGTTAAAGTGCTTGCGAACAAAGCCTTACTGAGGCTTACTATTCTTAGTAAGGAAGTTGAGCACGAGTTGATTAACCTCGTCAGGTAGTTGTTCTTGAACAAAATGGTTTCCTTCTGGCAAAGAGGCCGTCTCCAGATTAGGAACTAAAGTTTTAAGTTCTCCACTAATGTAGTCTTCAATACCTGGAAATTTGAGGACATAATCCTTCTTCCCCTCAATAAACAGCGCAGGAACATGAACTGTTGGATCTGTAACATCTATTTGTTCATGCAGTGACCTATTGCATCATGAAATTCATAAACAACCAAAATAAAAACGAGTAAAATAATATATCAGGTTACTTTTTCTTTGTCAACTTGCACACACCTTGGCATCACAAGGTACATTTANTGTAACATCTATTTGTTCATGCAGTGACCTATTGCATCATGAAATTCATAAACAACCAAAATAAAAACGAGTAAAATAATATATCAGGTTACTTTTTCTTTGTCTTTTTTTTTTTTTTTTTTTCTTTTTTTAATAAAAAAAATTATATATAATGGTAAGGGAAGGGGAAATGAGGGAAGGATTATAGGTTTTAAATCAAACCCCTCACTGACAAGGTGAAAGTTTATGTAGCCAACCAACTCAGCTACAAAGATTCCCCAAATGTGTTAAAGGTCTTTCATTTGATTTATCGATTTCTTGTTTTTTTTCTTTTTACCCCTCCCTAGGAGCTCTGCCACTTTTGCTCCCTTGATGATTAGAAGCCATAACCCGAGTATGGATGTGGAGGGTGCTTACCACTTGAACAAAACTCTTAGAACTTGCTTGTAGTACTTTATTATTTCCTAAGTCAGCCTCCCCTTGTAGAGGGGCAGGCCCATTATGAACCAAGTTCTAACCGTGCACCATTGGCTCTTGGGGATTTTTCAGTTATAAGAAAAAAGCCTGCCTCTCCCGACCAAGGCCATGAATGACTATAACGATTGTTGGTTTGATGTATGTGTGTGAGAGAAGTGAAAGTAGACTTTCCAGTAATAAAAAATGTAGATGTTTGTGATACCTATAGGGAACCTGCAATGCAGTTCTGAATCCAGAATTCTCATACAAAGCTCCATATGCAGCCAAGTCTTCCTCAGAAAACCAAGGGGGTAGAGGGGTTGAAGGTTGCACAATGTCCATGATTTCCTGATTTTCATTTGCTATTGGTACTTGACTTCTGGAGAAAAGAATGTATACATTCCTCACTACTGTTTTAGCATCGAGGCGACCAAAATCAGCCTCAGCTCTCCCAGGCTCCTGGAAAGAATTAAGATATCTCTAAGCTTGAATTAGAGAACTATATATCATGAGGAAAGCAAATTAAATTAGAGATGGTAAAAAACGTACCCCCCATCTTGAAATATAGAAGCCTTCAGGGAGGTCTTCTTTAAACTTGAGAGGGTGTGGGGGCCAAAATGGCACTCCCATAACAATAAATCCAGAGACTCTCTCCTCATAGAGATTGACAAAACGGGAAATGACAATAGATCCAAAGTCTTTACCAATGAGAAAAGCCTACATTATTGAGCAAACACAGAGATGAGAAAAACACAATTATACCAATAGAGAGACAGAATACCAGAACTTGACTATGACTAGTTCTGTACAATCTTAAGATAATGTATTGAATCTTCATTAGATTCTAACACCTCCAACACTATTATGTCCAAGTAAAAGGGATCACTTGCTGTGTCTTTGATGCAAGTTTCATAGCAGAGTTGTCATTTTGCACTACTACTTTTGTCTTATCTAAGAAGTAAGAGCTAAAGTTGATGTCATGTTACCAGCAGGTCCCGGGTGTCACGGGTTCGAGCCGTGGAAACAGTCTCTTACATAAATGCACTGTAAGGCTGCGTACAATAGACACTCGTATCCGGCCCTTCCCGAATCCCGTGCATAGCATTAACTTAGTGAACCGTTTTGTGGATCCCTTATATTTCGTTTACAGCTTGGGTCAAACCACTTTATTCTTTTCAGGCTACAACACTAGTCCAAATTCCAACCCCCAAAAAAAAAAGAACACTTTTTCCTCAATTTAAGAAGATGAATATACCTTAGAGATGCCAAGAGCATCAAGAAGTGCAAGGGTGTCATTGGCAAAATCAAGAAAGGTGGTTTTCTCGGGTTCGGGTGGCTGATCCGACAACCCGTATCCTCTGAAATCGGGTGCAATAGCTCTGTAACCAGCTTTGGCCACAGCTATCATTTGGAACCTCCAAGTATACCATATTTCGGGAAATCCATGCAAGAACAACACAACTGGGGAATTCCCACTTCCAATTTCAGCTACATGAAGCTTTAGCCCGTTCACTTCAACATATTTATGCTCTATTTGTTCCATCTTTCTGACTGTTGAATTTCTCTTTTCCTCTTTCTCACTTTCTGTTTGAGTTTTTCCCCTTGGGAGTTGAGTGAAATGATGAAATACGTATGGGATTTTTATACTTCACGAATTCATGTGAAGGTCAAAGTAAGTCACTGTTTTCTAAAGTTTAAGTTACACCTTGTTTGGATGGCTAGTTATATATGTTTCACAATGTATAATATATTGTATTGTATTGTATTGTACTGTATCATTTTGATATATATAATCTTTGAATATATTGTATTGATTGCTGTCGTTTTATGATGTCATGCACCCACAATATGAAAAATAAACTTGCACTATTATATAGAAAAAATAAGGTACGAGATAATATTATTATATAAAAAGGTAGGTTAAAGGATAAAATAATATTATTTAATAATAAAAAAAGACAAGATGAGAGAAAAAAATAAGGTAACGAAGCGACCACACCAAATTGATCGTTCTATAAAGTGACATTTCCGTCGTTACGTAACAACGAATTTAATGATACAATAAAATTATATTTAAGTAACAATCAAACTAAATATTATATTTAAAGTAACAATACGATACAATACAATAGTTAATAATCATCCAAACAAGCTTTTATATACACGGTAAGCCTAAAGAATGTGTTACACTCTCATATCATAATAGTACTAAACTACTAATTATGCATCATAGAAAATACAAAATATCTCTAGTCAAATTTGTTCCTTCATTGTGAATTTGTGACTCTTGCAAAGCAGAAAAGCATCTTTTAAATGTATTATAAATACAAATTATGCATCATACTGTATTACATACAAAAGTATTTCTAATCAATTTGTCCCATTAAAGTCTGGAGCAGGAGAGTGAATCTCGCTAAGCAGAAAAGCATCTTTGCCAAACCACTATCGACACTAGGAGTATATAATAATTCGTTGAAATTTTCCTGCTATGTGATAATTTATATCTGCCATTATTATTAGCTTGACTTCTAAGTATAAACATAAATCAGAGGAGTAATATATTATAATTAATATTCTTTCTTGGTATTATCTTACATTCCATTATCCTTTTTCTTGACTAACTGCCTGCTGGCCGAATTTTATTAGAGGTGAGTAAATAAGGGAGTGACACAGTATTCTAAAGATTTTTTAGAAACAAAAAGAAAAAACATATATAATAAAGTGCAGCTAAGTGCACTAAGCTCTTCCTATGTGCGGGGTTTAGGGAATGACCGGACCACAAGGGTCTATTGTACACAGTCTTACCCTCATTTCTATAAGAGGTTATTTTCACGGCTCGAACCCGTGACCTCTTGGTCACATAGCGGCAACTTTATTAGTTACGCCAAGACTCCCCTCCAAAAAAAAAAAAAAAAAAAAAAAA